CACACACACCGTGAACACACACCCGGAGCCATTTTTGCTGCGGCGCCCGGGGAGCAGTTGGGGGTTCGGTGCCTTGCTCAAGGGCACCTCAGTCGTGGTATTGAAGGTGGGAGAGAGCGCTGTACATTCACTCCCCCCACCTACAATCCCTGCCGGTACGAGACTCGAACCCACAACCTTTGGGTTACAAGTCCGACTCTCTAACCATTAGGCCACGACTTCCCCTCGCTTCCTCTCCTCCAGCTATCCCTGGACTATCCGAGTCTAAATTATCTGAGTTTGTAATTTAGAACTAACAAAACTAACAGCTTGTGTTAAGGATGAAGATCTGCTGTTATTTAAACAACAACTATTTCTTGCTCAGCTTGTGAAAATGGAGCACTTGTCTGCAGCAAACACACAATATTCTCTCAATCTGTTCAAGAAGATCAGAGGAGGAAATGTAGTGTTTAATAGTGTTTGAATGGGTCATTTTGAGTAGAAAATGAACTCCAGATGTCACAAAACAGCAAGTTACTAAACCTGACAACAAAAGCGTCCATAAAACAGTGTAAATACAACTCAAAAACAGTGAAAAATGTAACCTTATTAAATATTCATGCCCCAGTGCATGATGGGAACAACAGGATCATAACTTACTTAAAGAATACTTAAAGAATCCTTGTAAACATAACAAACAATTCCAAGTAAAATATACTTATAAGTTCAAACTTTAATTTCTACAAGCTTAAATTGAGTACTGATATAGAATTTACTCCTTTTTTTTAATTCTTTTTTTATTTTTTATTTAAAGGGGTCATATGATGCGATTTCAAGTTTTCCTTTCTCTTTGGAGTGTTACAAGCTGTTCGTGCATAGATACGATCCCTAAAGTTGCAAAGACTAAAGTCTCAAACCCATAGAGATATTCTTTATAAAAGTTAAGACTCGTCCACGTCGTTTATAATGGGTTTTATTGGTTTTGTCTCGTCGCTCCGGCCGGACAGGGCATCACAGTATGGTAGGGGCGTAACATTTCTGTCACACGCTTGAGGTATTCAGCCAATCACAACGCACTGGATAGCTGGCCAATCACAGCACACCTTGCTTTTCAGAAAGATGAGCCACCAAAAATTATTATGAAAATTATGAATATTAATTTCTCTAATATGAAAGGCTTTTACGCTGTTTACATATATATATTGAATTTATTGTCATTAATGGTGGTAGAGCCCCCTTCTGGTGAACAGATGCATACTGCATACTGCAAAAACTTGGGTTTCATGTCTATTGTGGTAGCTTTGAAGGAAAAATAAATAACTAAAAGTCTCCAGGAAATAATTACTTTAATGGCCACTGCAGCAGCATCATAAGGTTTGATCAGTGCATAATTATTAGGCTGTATTCATATTACATAATATAATTATATCACATTTATCCACAACACATTACCTGTTTTACGCAACCAAACATCTGACAAGCCCACATGGTAAAAACTACACAGATCACAATTACTACATGAAGTGTTAAGAACTGTAACTGTAACTAAACGTCATTTAGAAAAGCAGCTTGGGGTGTGTGGCGATGAGGATTATAATTATCATTTCATTTAGTTTTTATTAATTTTTCTAAAAGGTATTACAGTGACATCTACTTCCAACCCTCATCAGCTAATCTGTTATCGGTTCAAACACATTATGAATAAGAATGACTAAATATGATTAATACAATTATGATTTATCTCTCTTTGATTTGATTTCAATTTACTATACACAAAGAGTGAAATGAAGAATGAATCATTTAAGTAGATAAATGCATCTATTAATATTAAAAACTTTTTTTTTTTTTACAGGAAGGCTGGACTTGGATTAAGGGCTTTAGCTGTTTTAGGGTGAGGCATTATTTATTAGACTGACACCCTTAACTGTTAATTCATTCGACACAGACACACTGGAAAACTTCTTCATATCTGCTGATTTATTCCAGGTAATGCTTTTACTGAACTCTGCAACATTAAAGATACATTTCTGAATGTAAGTTAGATGGTATATCTACACAGTAATATAATTTATCAATTAAAACAGATCTAATAGAACTAACAGCTTGTGTTGATGCAGAAGATCTGCCCACCTTCAAATCTACTGTTATTTTAACGATTGCTATTTCTTGCTCAGCTTGTTGAAAATGGAGCGCTTGTCTGCAGCAAACACACGATTCTCTCTCAACCTGTTCAAGAAGATCAGTGAAGGAAACGCCTCAAAAAATGTGTTCTACTCTCCGATCAGCATCTCCTCGGCTCTGGCCATGGTGTCGCTCGGAGCTAAAGAAAACACAGTGGAGCAGATGTTTCAGGTGATCTGACACTTATGCATTTTTATGGTCAGTTGTTCATAATTTAATATAGCAGTTCTTTATTGGCATCTGTGGTTCCATGGAGAACCATTTACATGGAAAATTTCCATTGCACAAAAGGGACTTTATTTTCAAAATGCATTTCACTCTAAGATAAAAATGGTTCTTTGGGGAACCAAAAAATGCTTCTGTTGCATCACTGCAAAAAATAGATGTTGAAGTTTTCAAAAGAGTGAAGTTATCTTTTTTTACCACTATAATGCTGTGTAGGTCCTCAGCTTTACCAATCCTCCCACACACTGCGGGACTCCAGTACCTAATGTTTCAATGGACCAAATTCATTCCAGCTTCAACAAGCTCATGAGTGAACTGAACAAACCAGGAGCCCTGTATGTGTTGAGTCTTGCCAACCGCCTCTACGGAGAGCAATCCTACCAGTTTGTCGAGGTAAGACTCAAACCAAATAATTGGTAACTCTAATTTCATTTGCATCTCAGTTGATTTGCTATGTTACAGAAATTCCTGAATGATGCAAAAAAATACTATGAAGCCGGACTGGAGAAGGTGGACTTCAAGAAGAATTCAGAGGCTGCACGTGTCAATATCAACAAATGGGTGGAGAAAAAAACACAAGGTGACAAACTGGGATGAACATAAATTGAATTTTACATGTAGTCTACACTGCGTATGTTTTTCAGCACCTTAACAATTAACAAAATCTCTTTTCAAAGCCATGTTTGGCATCATGTGTTCTTGAATTGAGCTGCATAACTCTTTGGAAGTTAAGGTTTTGATGTACTTTCAGTAGTTTTGTTCACAGTGTAATACTATGCAACATATTGAATAAAGCATTGACTTTATATTTGGCCATGAAGTTTACAATTCTATCAGAACGACGTCAGGAGCTTTGAGACAGATGCCTCAATAGTGCCGCTTTAAACCAATGCTCAAAGTGAAAAATGTCCATTTGAATTTCAGAGAAGATCAAGGACTTGTTGCCACCACAAGGTGTTGATGAAACTACAAAACTGGTCTTGGTGAACGCCATCTACTTCAAGGGGAACTGGGAGAAGAAATTCTCAAAAGACGCCACCAGAGATGGACAGTTTAAGCTGAACAAGGTGAGATTTCAATGATGAAATATTCTGAACAGTCATGAAATATGAGGACTTGTGACATCTTTCTATTAACCTATTGATGCTTGGCAGACTCAAACTAAACCAGTGAAGATGATGCGACAGAAGTCAAAGTTTCCTCTGGCCTTCATCCCAGAGATGAACAGTCAGGTTCTGGAGCTGCCGTATGTCGGGAAGAATCTCAGTATGTTGATCATCCTTCCTAACGAGATTCAGGGTGAAACCACTGGCCTTCAGAAGGTGAGACAGCACAGATTACATGGTGCATTTTTTCATTATTTGGAATTGCTGGTTGCTGCAAACATATAAAACGTTGAAGAGTTACTGTCTGCATGACTTGCATTTTTAATATATTTTTGAATGAAATTAACACGACTCCCCTATTATCCAGCTTGAAAAGGCACTGACCTATGAGAAGCTCATGGAGTGGACCAAACCCAGCAAGATGCTTCAAGAGGAAGTTCAAGTATCTCTGCCCAAATTTAAGATGGCAGAAACCTACGGGATGGTGCAGTTTCTGCGCAGCATGGGAATGGAGGATGTTTTTGACCCACAGAAGGTGAATCTTTCAGGCATGTCGTCCAACAACAACCTGGTGGTGTCAAAGGTGATTCATAAAGCCTTTGTTGAAGTAAACGAGGAAGGAACTGAAGCAGCTGCAGCCACCGGCATCACCATCACAACAACGTCAATGCCATTACCCCCGAAAACCTTTATTGCAGACCATCCGTTCCTTTTCTTCATCCGTCATAATCCCTCCAACAGCATTCTGTTTTATGGACGCTTCTGTTCTCCTTGAAGATAGTAATGATGCAGTGATAATACGAAGTGTTTGCATTTCTCTGATAAATAAAGGCTCTAGCAAATAATGGAGTGAAATGTTTTCAATGCATTTACTTTCACAGCACTGATTCATGAGTTCTGACCCAAAACAGACTACAGAATGGAAAAAATAAAAGATGCACCAGTCATGTCAATGCATTTTGTGTGAAAAAAATGGTTGCTTGTTAGTGAATACCAACCACTGCAGATAGCAAACAGATCGAAACACCATTGCACTGTAACAAAATTATGACTTAACAAAAACACATTACAATAAATAAATATGAGATGAATAAAACTGTATTTAACACATATTGCCTATACTGTATACAGCAATTACAACTTTTTCAAATGTTATTTTATGTTTGTTTTTATAAGTGGATCTTTATTATCCCTAATTAGACTTACTATTTTGCATTTTAGGCTCATTTTGAGCAAAAATTAAGTGCTTTCTCACTTTCTCAGATGTTGAAAATTTAAATATTAAATTGCTACATTTCTATTTCTATTTCTCTCTCTCTCTCTCTCTCTCTCTCTCTATATATATATATATATATATGGGTGTACTTTTGTCCCCTGTTAAGATATGTGTGTGTATAAAGGCGGAACTTTCGCTTAACGTTTAATTGTTCTGCACTGTTCAGGTGCTGTTATACAGTACATACAGACAGAATTACTTTAATTTAATGTGAGTAGTTAGTATGTGATTACCTTGAAACCGATAACAGTGTCTCTTTGGATAAATGATGATAGGGCTCCGCTCTCATCCAGGTGACGTTCTTCACTGCTGAGGTAGCAGTGCGAGACCATAATCAGTGTAGTTCGCAGCCGCTCTGTTGGAGAAAATAAAGTTTTTTTTAAACAAACAAATATGCAACAAACAAAAATTAACAATTTCCAATATGGAATTAAGTCTGCAGGCCATTTACTGTGAGGCTGAGTTCTCTGTCTGTCTGTCTGTCTGTCTGTCTGTCTGTCTGTGTGTGTGTGTGTGTGTGTGTGTCTGTGTGTGTGTGTGTGTGTGTGTGTTTGTGTGTGTGTGTGTGTGTGTGTGTGTGTGTGTGTGTGTGTTACTGAATGAGTGAAGAACAGCGCTTACCTTGACTGCGCTTATGTGAATATTCACCAAGGTGGGCATTTTGACACATTTATGTCACACAATGAATCTCTTATTTACATCATATATATTTTTTGTTTGTTATAATGAGAGGTTTCATTGTTCATTTTGAACAAAGTCAAGGGACTTTGACTCGGTACTGGACAAATACGGTGCACTCCTATGAATGCGAGAAAGTGCAACGTGCAATATGCAGGGTTCCTACACACTTTCCATTTCAAAATTCCTTACTTTTCCAGACTCAAATTTCCAAACCTCTCAGTAGATTTTCAGGCCATATTTAACATAAATGGTTCATACAGCATTATTTTCAGCTTTATATTTGGTATACAGTCATCTGTAAATATTTTTATTTTCTCTTGGGCTTTTCATAGATTTTTTTGAAGTTACAACATACAGAGTCCCTAAAAAATAATAATAAAATAATAAAAAATACAGACTTTTGCATGCACACAAGAAACTTTTTTGTGCCTTTGAGAAACTATTCACATGCGCATGGGAATTTTTTGCATGCTTACACATTACAACTTCTAGTTTTATATAACCTATTTCCTTTGTGCATCACTGCCATCTTACTATGAATAAAACAAGAGCATGGATGCACATGAATTAAGAGATCTGCTTGCTCAAAATTAGGCTTTCCTTATGGTAATAACAAGGCCTAATGTCCAATTTAACATCCTCTGTGACGGCAGAGAAACCATGGCACGAAATGGGCTGATGGCATAATACAGCTGTGTGCATGGTCCTATTTGCCAAGTTCAAGGGTCCATAAAAAAGACTGGTACTGTAAAAAGGTGATCGAAATTTGGCTTTTGTTAGGGAAGTATGTCATATTTCAAGGCCTTAGGTCTCTTTAATGCATACTCTAGTAAACCACACTGCAAAATGGGCTGATGGCACAATAGGTGGCGTGGCTCAGTGTGCATTGTCCTATATGCTAAGATTAATGGTTTCTTGTGTGCACATAAAAGTCTGTATATAGCTATAGAAATTGCTATAGAAACAGTCAGCGTTCTGAGAAGCATGCTCAGGACTGCACATGCGCACTAGCTTGTCTAGCCTGAAAAATAAGCTTTTTTCCATGCTATTTGAGCATATCAAAAAACATTAATGAGACTGTTGTTGTCAGATTTCATTGGTGATTTCAAATATGACATTTAATGGAAAGCTTGGTGAACAGTTTTGGAGAATATGATGTTTCCCCATTCAAAGAGACATGAGTTGTACTTGCATGACTGAAATGAAATGTTTTAAAATGTCTTTTGGCACAGCAAAGAAACAGTTGCAGTAAAAAGATATGTTTTTTTGTGTGTGTGTCAAAGAGGCAGGTGTGGCTCGCAAGCCATTGGTTCCCGACTGCTGAGCTAATATGTTATTGGGTTGCACAGACACCAGGATTAAGAATGACAAATTGTGAATGATACAATTTAGATTTATCCTTCTTTCATTTATTTGACTTATATGATAGGAGTGAAATAAAGAATGAATCATTCAGTTTATGTTTGATGGTGTTCCAAGTGGATAAATATAACAATATCTAATAGAAACATTCATTTATATTTTAGGCTGGACTTGGATAAATAGAGTAGGGCGAGGCTTCATTTATTAGAAAGACACCCATAACGATTGATTCACTCGCCTCAGACACGCTGGGAAACTTCACCATTTCTGCTGATTATTGCAGGTAATGCTTTTGCTGAATTCTGTTTGTTAGAGGTACTTTATATGCAGTTTAGATGGTATCCTGCACAATAATATAATTTATTAATGTTATTTAAACTATTGCTATTTCTCACTCAGCTTGTGAAAATGGAGCCTTTGTCTGCAGCAAACACACAGTTCTCTCTAAAACTGTTCAAGAAGATCAGTGAAGGAAACACGTCAGGAAATGTGTTCTACTCTCCGATCAGCATCTCCTCAGCTCTGGCCATGGTGTCGCTCGGAGCTAAAGGAAACACAGCGGCGCAGATGTTTAAGGTGATCTCAAACTTAATAAATAATAAAAAATAAATTTTTATGGCCAGTTGTTCAGAACTGAAAATGCATTTATATACAACAATGCTGTGTAGGTTTTGGGCTTTAACAATCCTGCAGAACCCAATGCCGTGACTCCAGCTCCTCATCAACAAGCCCAGAAGCCCCAGATGCCCTGCGGTGTCAAGGGTCAACATGAACCATCAATGACGCAACAAACCCAGAAGTTTGAGATACCTGCCGAACTCAAGGTTCAGAATAAGTACTGACATGAAACGCTAACCTCATGGCTTTATGATTGCAATGCATTTTCCATAGTGGTGCATATAGCCTTGGGGATTAAATGTGACATTGTTGATGCAAACAGAAATTTCCTACTCAAGCAGTACAAACTGAGGACCAAATTCATTCCAGTTTCAATAAACTCATGAGTGAACTGAAGAAACCTGGTGCCCCGTATGTGTTGAGTCTTGCCAACCGCCTCTACGGAGAGCAATCCTACCAGTTTGTGGAGGTAAGACTCAAAGCAAATAATTCAAGGTGCTGGAAATTATCTCTTATTCAATCAATTTGCTATGTTACAGAAATTCCTTAATGATGCAAAAAGATACTATGAAGCCGGACTGGAGAAGGTGGACTTCAAGAAGAATTCAGAGGCTGCACGTGTCGACATCAACAAATGGGTGGAGAAAAACACTCAAGGTGAAAACCAGCATGAACTTAAACTGAATTGAAAAGTTACTCTACAAATAAAAATTCAAATACAACTTAACCACTGATTTCTAGTCGTGTCCTCTTTTGGAAGGCCAAACAATTTAGTTTCGCTTTCACAACGAAAAAGCGTCACACAGATCTTCTTTATGCACCAAGAGCTTGTAACACTCCAAAGAGAAAGGAACAATTGAAATCGCTTCATATGACCCCTTTAAGTTTTTTGCTGTAAAGTTCAGCAGAATTACTTTCCAAGGGCTATGTCCGGTTTGACAGGGTTCTTGAGTTGAGCTACTTATCTAACCAAAATAAGTTCTAAGAACATTTTGCTAGCATCAAAACATGTTTAAAAACAAGTTAAGGGAACATTCCATTTTATCATTTTGCAAACATCTCAGAACATTCTGAAACACTTAGTAACATTTAAAAAATATTAGACGAATGTCCAACTAATGAACGATGAATAAATAAAGTTTTATGGTAAAGTTTTGAAAACATTACTAGACCATATAACTTTTAACAAATGTTCTATTAATATTTGTTCATAGCTTTGAGAGAACCTTGCCAGAACACGCTGAGAACATTCACTGTTAGCGCTTTAGAGTTTAAAGTTTTGAAATACTTTAAGTGATTTTGTTAGTAGGATTACATTAAGCAACATTTTTGGCCATTAAGTTTACATTTCTGTAAGAACTTTGTCGTGAGCTTTGAGACAGATGCTATAATAGTATTTTTGGTGATTCATTTGTGTTCTTCATATGTGAACCAGTTCAAACCAATGCCTAAAGTGGAAAATGTCCATTTCGATTTCAGAGAAGATCAAGGACTTGCTTCCACAGGGATCAATTGATTCAATGACGAGACTGGTCTTGGTGAACGCCATCTACTTCAAGGGGACCTGGGAGGAGAAATTCCCAAAGGACGCCACCAGAGATGGACAGTTTAAGCTGAACAAGGGGAGATTTCTTGCTCTCTTTTTTATATATATTTTTTTTTTTTAACAGTCACGAAATAAGAGGATATTTGACATGTTTCTATTGATCTATTGATGCTTGGCAGACTCAAACTAAACCAGTGAAGATGATGAATCAGGAATCAAAGTTTCCTCTGGCCTTCATCCCAGAGATGAACAGTCAGGTTCTGGAGCTGCCGTATGTCGGGAAGAATCTCAGTATGTTGATCATCCTTCCTAACAAGATTCAAGATGAAACCACAGGCCTTCAGAAGGTGAGACAGCACAGGTTCTGCTATAGGGTGTTTTCATTATGTATAATTGCTTAACCTTATAAATCCTACATCATATTTTTTATGCAAATTGATAAGGCCTCTAAATGATCGACATGACCAAAACTTTGCTTAAAAAACTGTTGCACACAAACTACTACATGCCCTCTGTCGTCAGAATGATAATACATATTTAACAAAATATAATAAAAATAATAAAAGGCCTTTTAGTATAATTTTACAGAAATTGCCCACCTTTAGCACATGGCATGTGTCTTTTTGCTATGAAAGATTTACTTATTTTAAATGTATAAGTAAATGTAAGAATAACCTTTACATTAGTAATTTTTCAAGATCTACACTTACTGGACTGAAGCAACTATGTTTACTATCATTTTGTTAAAAATATCATCTTCATATGCGAGTATAAGCATTTAAATATCGTCTTAAGACTTTACATCTTACATTACAAGCTATCAGAAATAATTTCATCTTACTTTTTGGCCATTATAAACATCAGCAAACTGCATATTTTTGCTCATTTGGGGCAAAAAAACATAAGGAAAAATCAGCTGTTTTCCCCTTCCTACTATATGAGCCATGAAAGCCTGAAGTGTCAAATATGATACTCAATTAAAAAAAACGATTTTTTTTTTTTTTTTTTTTTAAGTTAATATTTTGTCTAAACATTTAATAAACTGTTGAAAACTGAATTTGCAAGGTTAGTGTCACGGTTCTGCTGGTGTGCCTTAGTTGGCCACCAGATGTCACTGTGTGTTTTGAGCACATGGCTTGTTGTTTTTT